GTACCATGGCCTTTGCCTTGCACTAGCAATAAAAATCAAATCAGATCAATCCCTACCCTGTGCAGCTAACAGGAAGGGCAGGAAATRGACCAGTAAACAGATAAGACAATTCAGCACAGACACTGCAAGAATAGAGGTGGGCCCAGGGTTCTCCACAATCTTCAGAAGCCTGGGAGGAGGCAGCAGAACGCTTCCTCAAGATGTCTACTTGGTTTTTATTTAGCTCCTACCATGTGCCAGAGGAAAAGACTGGCCTCTGTCTCCTAGGAACTGTCATCTAGCTGGGGAGACAAGACCTGGGCAGGAATGCATCACAAAACACCCTATTACAGGTGMTACTTGCCTGCTGAGATGGGGTTTAGGGCCACAAGACAACATGCAGTTTACTAGACTAAGCCTCACCACTGTGTTCCCAGTATCTAGCATGCCAGAGATGCCTAGTCAAGAGCTGGCTTAGAGGGCAGCAGTGGCACCATTATTGAAAAAGCATTGGCTTATGAATCAGAGGATTCCTGGTCTGGCCTTGCCAGTTATGGGAGAGTCACTGAATACCCTAGAGCCCCAGATRTCTCAGCTCTAACAATCCACCTCTCAGAATGACTTCCAGGTGCAAATAAGAGAGTGTGCACTTTGCAAACGGCTATATTCCAAAAAGAAAGGATGGGTCTCACCRATTTCACATATATAATATCATCCGTTTGATGGACCAAAATGAACTCTGCCACGAATTTAGAGAAAAGGAAAAAATGTAGCTCCAAGGTGGGGGAGTGGTGGTGGTGGGTCAATGGTTGCCCTGAGGCTGCAAGATAAGTRAAAGAATTAGTAAGCACAGAAGTTGGGACTTGAGCCTCAGTCAGATGATGCCAAAGCCTGAGATTTTTTCTTTAGTTAGGAAAATAATTACAGAAGTCAGTTTCAAGGGGCCGAGGGGTCCTGGAGGGAAAGTAGCATTTTTATGGCGAGAAGGAGAAGGGGATTCATCCATGACTCACCCATGCATCAATTTYTAGGTATTAAGAATCTATATAAATCCCTTCTGGGGTCTGACCAAAGCAAGTACTGAGCCCGTGTTTATTTAAAAAGAATACTGAGCATTTTTGCCATATTAAAATCTTTGCTTAGAATAATCTTCATAACACAGTGCAAGGCACAACTGAAGGGAGGCTAGATAGGAGGTGGGATTTTACTGCTTGCTTCTAATCTCGCTGCTGCTAGAGTCATTAAGCTTTTGCAAAGCAGGGATAGGAACCATTGCTTTGTGGATTTGGAAGGAATTCCTATTATGCTATAATTCCAGAATCTGAGATACATCTGAAAAAGAGGTCAAAATGACCGGGTTTTTCCATAAGTCCTGCCACAGAAAGGTGTCTGCTTTCCCTATAACGTCTGATGATTTGCATCTCTGCACCACCCTGGTCTCCGCTGCCATTCCTTTCCTTTGTTGTGGGGGCTGTCCACCCTGGATCCACGACCTCCAAATCAGGCAAGTCTTCTCCTGCTGCTTCAAACAGACCTGACATTCGGCAGCAGAAGGCCCAGGACAGCGGGTAGCGAGATGATGAGATTCCCAGCCCTGCGACCTGCCCCCCCAATGAGGGTCACTCATGTCCTCTGATCAGAAGCCGGTTCTGGATGAAGCCAGCCAGGYTCTTATGGCCAGGATGGAAAAGTGGGAAATGTGGTGTCGCTGTTGTTAAGTTGTATAGCTTTTCCAGAGTTGAGCAAACCAAAGCAAATTCTGCACTTGGCCTCTGAGGCCTCTGCATGCATTTTTCTCCTGGAGTATTCCTGGTAGGCAGGGCAGGAAAGCAGGCTAGTTGACATCATCAGGGGCCCCATTTCACCCACGCCTCCAGCTGACATGCAACAGCAGCTAGATCAGRAGGCAAAAGTCCTACTGCAAAGGAGGGAGAATCAACTGACCTGGGTTCTAATTCAGTAACTCCAAGGAAAGATTGGGACCTTTTTTGTCTCTTCTTATCAGATATATTGCTGTGRCTAAGTCGCTTCACTTTTTTGACTCTGTTTACTCATTTATGATAAAGATAGTTAATATTTACTGAGTAGACTGTATATGCCAGGCACTGAGTCACTTTATTGACAGGAGCTCATTTTATTCTCAAAACCTTAGTCCATAGACATACTCTCTCCATTTAACAGATAATTCTACAGAGGCTCGATGAGATTCATGAACTTGACACATGTCCCACAGGACAAGAGCTCAGATCAGACTTAGATTGTATATGTCCTTTGCCCCAYGATAAAAATAACAATACCTGGCTTTCAGGAATCTCTTCCAGGGTGAAATGCATGGACATAGTCCAGGGCACACGGCAGAACTCCACAAAGGAAAGCAATTAGTGTGGCATTGTCTTGCCTGGTGTCTCTCCAAGGTGTAGAAAAATCATCGTGCTGACCTCACATAGAATAAGGAAGCAACGCCTCTGCTTGCCCTATAACCAAGGCCTAGAGCACAGGTCTGCTTCAAGGAAACCCGAGAATTCAGACAGCATTTTAATTAAAACATCAACATGMCATGAGGGAAGAGGACAGGCACAACTGAGCTCTGAAAAGCAGATTTTTTTTTTTTTTCTTAGACTTACTGGCATCGCTGGAGGAGGTGGAGACTGGCCTTGGCAAGCYGCAGGCGAAGAGCTGCTGACTGGGACCTTTGCTTGGGGATTAAGGAAAGATGGGAAGAGAGACGTGGCCCTCAAAGGAGCTCCTTTAACATTTCCTTTGCCCATGCTGGGGCCAGGTGAGAACCCAGAACCACCCTCCCCACACACATTCCAGGTAGCATGTGGCTACCTGTGTGTCTCCAGGCATTATTGCATTAATTCTTTCAGCAACCCAGTTCCCCCCCCGGACTACCAACACCACTCCCACTTCACAGATGAGAAAACTGAGAGTCAGGGGCACCAATGAGTCACCTAATTCGGATTAGGAAAGCCTCCTAATTTACCTCTCCACTGTGCTGTGCCTGGAAGCAGACCACTAGGCAAGATGGGAACACGACCAGGTAGAGATAGGAAGACATGTGACCGAGCCATCCTGTGCTGCTCTTACCTCAGGACACTCCTGGAGTCTAACGTGCTCCTTTGAAGCATTCAATTAACTGATCCTCCAGATGTCAAAAGCACCTGTTCAAACTGATCCCAAGATACTGTGCAATTATTTGCCTTCCACCACAAACACCTTTTTCCGGGAACAGCCATTCTTCCTAAAGAGCCCAACTCCATAGCCACCAATTTGGAACAAATGGTAAAATTAAACCTTTCGTTTTTCAGCTTTTGAACACAACAAAGATCCTTAGTCCACCTCTGAGAAACTACTACAGTTGCCAAATGGACTGTTTTTCTTTTTAAAGGTTGGAAAGAATTCTACTAGGCCCCTTCCCCCTCCCCAAATTCAAACTGTTGGTTGTGCGCCTAGTTTACGATGTTATTAAAAAACAAAGAGGGGTCTCAAAAGCTAACAACCAACCCCCAGAGTGGGCAAGTCCGAAGAAAAACTTCATGCAATGTGGTTCCTGTAATATCAGCAGCGTAGATCTGATCTAGAGTAGGCAAGATAAGCCAACCGCCTATCCCCTGGAGCAGCTCATTAGGGCTAGGCAGCCATCTTGAATGTAAGTCYTCATGATGGAAAGAGGCTTTGAAATAAGCCAAGCGTAGGCTTGAACCAGATTTTTTTCTGACTACAGACTTTAGGCCATAGAATCCCTCTAAGCTTTGGATTTTCCATCTCCATAATGAGGACAAGAGCCTTTATTTCACATTTAGTGTTCTAAATATTATCTCTCTTCATGCTTAGCTTTCTAATACAGGCCAAAGTTGAGTTACCACACTATGCTCAACAGTAACGTGATTGGAAAGATCTGCAAAAGGGATTTATAAACCTGATGGATGTGTCACTTATCCCTTTCACCCACATGGCCGGGGCTCAAGGGCAGAAAACAGGCTTAGGAAATTCTGGAAGCTGTGACAATGTAGGACTTGCAAATCACAAGACTGGATTTCAATTATCCTCCTCCTTTTCTGCCTTAAATGGACACACTAAAATAGGGTGGTGACCTTCCAAGTAGGGCCCGTGTGGGCCATACCCCTATTCTCGTGAGGTCACCGTGGCTCAAAATAACTCTGCATCTTGTCAAAGTCCACGGCTCATTTCTGTAACGTCCTCAATGAGGACTGCACCCTTTATTGGAGGCCCTGAACCTGTCAGCCTGGACTTTACACCTGCATGCGAGTAACCTGCTCAGCAATTAAGAGTTTGTAAAGTGTTTCAATTTTCATAATCCCTTTTATACCTTATTGCAGCACCATGATGCAAGACGGTCATTGCTGGTTTTAGAGGTCTGTGACTTGTTCTCGGGGGACCAGGTTTAGAATCTATTTGTCTGGGCTCCAAATCCTATTACATTGGTGCCACAGCCATTGGCAGGAAAACTAAGCACTATGCCAGAGCACACCAGTGGCATAGTCACTGAAGCTGAAGTGCAGAAAAAGCATGGAAAGAACACAGAAAACATCCGAGAGAGCTGGCAAGGTACTTCCCGCACAGTGGTCCAGAGCTCAGATCTGTGTAAGAGATAACTAGGTTCAAATCTCAACTCTACAACTTATTAACCAAGTGATCTTGAGCAAATTCGTCTTACTCAGTGGACCTTAGTTTCTTAATTTGCAGAAGAAAAATAAGAATAATATTTAGACTCCACTGGATTGTTGAGGATAATGTGTGAAAAATATTTTAAAAGGGTGCGTAGTGTATATTGCACAGTAAATGTGGGCTTTTAGTAATCATATCAATGGCAGGCAATAAATAGCATTCAGTAAAATTCTACTTGGGAGAATTCTCCATTGGTTTTGTTTGGCTTGTACTTGGAGGAAGTCTCCCTTGGCTTGGTATACACATCTCTGTTGGCGCAGACGTCCTATAATACCATAACACAGGAAAGTGTCAAGACAAGGTGGACATGGTGGAGACCCGACACTTACCGCAAGGATGGCAATGACAATCCCCACCGCACAGAGCACGGCGTCATTGATCGTCTCTCCGGTTTTCAGTGGGTACTTGATGCTCTCATCACTACAATAAAACCCTCGATGGTAAGGCTGGATGGTGCTTGTCTCGATGATGATGAAGGGCAGGCCCGCTGCAACCATGCACATACAGGGAAAAACAAGAACAGGAAAGGGGAAAAAAAGAATCAGTGCAAGGTAGCAAAGAGGAACAAGGACAGGAGAAACCTCTCCAAATGACACTGATAGCAATGTTAATTCCTTTCATTTGTAGCAATCCACGGGCTATAAGAAGGTTCCATGATAGGAATCATCCTCTTTTCTTACCCCCCAAAATCAGAGGAGGGTATTGGAAGAACCAGGGCAGGTTCTTCCACAACCCTGCTCCACAACACCCTGCTAACAGTTAAAGGTCAATTMATTATTAAGGATTAATTAATGGTCCTCATAAAGTAAGAGGACTAGGAGTTTTACTGAACCTCTAGACTAAAAAGTCCACAAAATTGTCTTGTTGATAATGACCAGCATTAATTATTAAGGATCAATGATTATTATTTTTTTTTTTTGTGTGTGTGTGTGTGTAATGCTGGGGATCGAACCCAGGGCCTTGTGTATGCGAGGCAAGCACTCTACCAACTGAACTATATTCCCAGCCTAAGGATCAATAATTACCAATACAGTCAAACCTTGTGATGCCCACTGTGCCTCCAAAGGCATCATTTCTTTGCTCTTACCCACTTCCCCTTGGGCAGCTCACCTTAAGGCTAATTGCCTTGCAATCAGATAACCTAGATGTGAATCTCAAATCCACCACTTCCTTGTGGTGGGTGCAACCTCTAGCCCTCACTCCATCTCCATGAGCCTCAGTTTCCTCACAGTTATTAAATGAGTTGTGGCAATGATTAAATGAGATCACACACATAAAAGCTCTAGCACAGTGTCGGGTACAGGGTAGCTGCTCAATGAAAGCTATTTTCAAGTCTTTTCTTTCAGTGCTCAGAGTCATTGACAAGACAGCAGAGTCTAGCTCAGCCTCATCATCTGCAGTCCTGGAGAGGAGCCCAAGGGCACTGGAAAATCAGGTGGCTCTTGCAGCTGCTGCTGGTAATCAGTGGCCAGCTCAGATGCCATTCTCTTCAAGGTCATGGCTAATGGATTCTAATATCAGCCCAGAAAAGTCCCTCAAAACCCTGAAGCAAAAGGTACATGCCCATAATAACTCTGAGGTCACTACTGCAGTCTCCAAATTGGTTTCCTGGCTCCTAATGTCTCCTACATATCCACTAGTTTACTTCCTGAAGGGCTCTGACCATGAGTATCTTCAAGGGCTCCTCATTGCCCAGGGTGAGATAAATTCCCTAAGCCTGACCTCAGGAGTTGCCCATGACCTGAACCTCCTCTCCAGCTTCGTAGTTTCCTCTCCCCTCCTTTCCTCTCCTCCTCCACCCACTTCACACACACACACACACACACACACACACACACACACACCACACACACACACACACCCCTCAGAGAAGAACACCCAGTGACCGTCTTGGTTCTTGCTGTTCTCTACACTGAAATATTTCTTGCTCTCCTACTGCCCAAGTTCAACACCAGGTTCCAACGCCACCTCACAAAGTAAGAGGACTAGAGGTGTTACTGAACCTCAGGACTAAAAAGACCACAAAAACTATCTTGGTGATAACAACCATCATTGACTGATCACCAATAGTGTGTTAGACACTATAAATGTTTTCCCATTGACTCTTTCAATAACCCTGAAAGGTCATTTTAAAGCACCATTTATTTAAGCACTAGTCTCTCCCATCTCCAGGTGAAAAGAACAGAGACTCAGAATGGTTAGCTCACTTAGGGTTCCTCAGTCCACCTTACTAAATGCCTAAATCCCTAATTTAACTTTGCAAATTGGTTTCATCCAAATGTGAAATTCATTAGCTGAAAAAAAAAAAAAATCTCGAGATAAGCAGTTACTTAAAAGAACTAAATTCATGTCACGTTGCTAAAGCCCCAGACCGCCTCCAAAAAAAAAAAAAAAAGTACCATGAACTCCACAATTTTTCAATTACTTTGGTCCAGACCGGCAGTGATAAAAATGCTCACTTTCTTAAAAGTGTATTTATGTATCATCATGCATACGCACATGGATTTATTTGGTTTTATTCTTTGGATTTATTTGAATTCTACGGCTATTTATTTTGTGACCCCCTAACTGCTTCCTGCTAGAACAACAATTTACTTTATCAAATTCATACTGGTGCTTTGAAAAGAAAGAATAGCGACACACCACAGTATTGTGCCTGACCTTCTCAAAGTAAACACAGAGGGGCCCTGGAAGGCAATAACCATTAGCTCTTGGAACTCTGTGCCGCAGAGCAGAGGAGGGGGGCGGCAAAGGAGGAATGCTCTGGCTCAGAAGTGACAGGAGTCAGCGGACCATTTTGGGGGGGGGGGGCGCGAGCCTGGGGAGAGATAACATATGGGCCCAAACCCCATCTTCAATCCACAGCCCAAACATTTTGAAATGTGACCCAACTGGCGATGAAAAGTAGCTGAGAAGCCAGCCGTATGATATTAATAGTCCACTTTTAAAGTTCCACACATCATGATAAAAAAAAAGTTTAGCTTCGAGTCCGAGCCGGCTGCAGCCTCCATGGTGCCTGGGAGCCAAAGCGTTGCTAATAAACTCAGGGAGGGAATAGACTCTGAGTTTCTTACCCTTGTGTTATGCTCTAGGCCTCCAGCTTCTATTTTTAATAGTGTTCACATGATAGGCCTGTAAAACATATGTTTCTAAGGACAATAAAACACGTGTAAGGAGCTTTGGAGTTGACAGAACTCAGTTAATGGTCTCAGTTCTGTTCCCTATTACTTGAGCAAGTGATTTCCCACCTCCAAGTCTCCCCTTCCCACGTGCACCATGGGAAGAATGAAATCCAACTTTAGGACTATTGAGATGATAAGCTGATGTGTTCATTTATTCATGGATTTACTTACTCAACACATATTCATTGACCCTTAACTGTGTATATTAAGTTGTGGAATACAAACATGACCCAGACCCTGGCCTCAGGGAGCTTACAGTCCAGGCTGGAAGACATCATCAAAACCAGTCAAGAAATTTTAGGTGGAAGAAATTCGAGGCAATGATACTGGGTCATGTCAATTCAGAGTCTGAAACATAACAAGGACAGTGAATAAATGTTAAAAAGGAGAAGGGAAAAAAGTCCTGCAGAGATGGCTAGAAAAAAAAAAATCTGTTCTCTCAGTTCCTTTGCCTTCTCTTTGGAACAATCCAAATCCTTTTCTTTCTTTGCTTATGGCTGGGGAGGGGTTCCGGTTCTGATTATGTGGATGATGACCACAAACGGAGAAGAAGCTGGATCTGAACATATTCTGCTTATTTGCTTGAAAGGCATGGAGATAGCATTTAGAAAACCCAAAGGCTTTTTCTGCCTCCCCTCCAAACTTGCAGTATTACGGGGGGTGGGGGGGAGTGATGCCAGTCAAATCTTGACTTCCCTCCAGAAAGCGGGTAACCTCAGATTGCCTTCAGTTGACAGGCCATGCATAAACAGTCCCCAACTGGGAAGTCCTCAAGAGACACAAGCCCATGCTTTGCTTTGAGGACACAGAAAAACAAGTTGTCCTTTTCCAAAGCAGAGTCTCCATTTCCGACACGGGTACCATCTTTATTATCCATCACTACAGTCGTTTGCCATTTTGCCTAAAGAAAATCTCCAGTGCTGGACTGGGGATGCTGAAGGTGACTTGTCACAGCAGCTACTCTGGAGAAGTGGTGGTGGTGTGACAAAGTCACAGAATAAGTGCACTCAAATCTCTCCAGTATGAGGAAAGACCTCTGTGTAGACTGCAGCAAGGGCACTAAGTCCAGTCTACCAGGATCAGCAAAGGTGTCCCACAAGGGATGGGAGGCTTGAGTTGCCCCTGACGTGAATCAGAGAGGTTTCTGGGAGCTATGGACTAAGAATGCTCAAAAAAATCCATGCAGTTTAAGGATTCCAATGCAGGCAACCACAAAACGGATGTTTTTTTTTTATAAGAATACAAGTTTAGACTCTGCTCCAGGGGTGGAGGAGAAATACAAGTAGAAAACGAAGGAAAGACGGGGAAGAAGAGCACCAAGACTCCCAACGGCCAGCACTTACTTGACAACTATTCTCTGCCTACACGGTGTTGAGAGTCCCCACATAAACCACTGCAGTCGGACAAACCTGGCTATGCCTATATCCTAGGCACTGGCTGAGCTATCAAGATGAAAAGAGGCCAAGTCCCAACCTTCCAGTGGCCCAAAGGATAATAGGAGAAACTGTCATAAAAACTAATACATTAAGCTACCCTAAGGTTCAAAAAGAGATTAAAGTGACTTTCCAGAGTAAGCGATGGAGCTGGATGAGGTTCAAATGATCCGACTCTAAATGTCGAATACTTTCTAAAGTGAGTCACTTAAACCAGAGAGCAGGAGGCACCTGAGTGTTCATAAATTAACTGAAGCTCAGTTAACTCTCGTGGCCTGTGAAGGAAAAAAAGAAAAAGAAAATGTTTTGTAACCATCAAGGCAACAACACGTGCTGACGTTCACGGCCGTGTACCACACACATGCTGATTAGACACGCACACCTCTAATCCAATCAAAACTCTGAAGCCAATATCCTGGACTTTAGATTTATTGATAATAAACTGTGCATTACGAGCTTTTTGCAAAGCAGGGCCAGAGAAAGAGAGAGAGAGGAGAGAGAGAGAGAGAGATAATAATAATATGGTGATCCTAAAACCAGATTCAAGCATTTTCTTCTTCTTTTAATCAAGATCAATTAACTTCCTATACCTCCAGGGACTTCTTGGGATGTGTAGGCTGCAGAGGAGGCGAAATACGAACTCACTGACAAACACTTAATGGGCARAAAATCAAAGCAGGAAGAAAGGCCCCTGTGTTGGGTTCAGGCCTTTGAAACTTCTCTGGCTTTGAAAAACCAACACTTGGGCAGGTTGGGTGGTTTGGGGGGTGGGGTGTAAGAAAACACAGGCTAAGTTTTCGTGGCCCACCCATTGATAAAGTCATGTGGGAAGTGTTACCAGAGTGACCCAGCCCCGAGCCCTACTCCCTGCA